GTGTAAATTGAATTTGACTGCAGAAAAATTTTTTGGCAGTAAAAAACGGAGAGATAATAATATTCTAGTGCTAAGCATACATGACAGGAAGAAAAAATCAAAAGATCCCTTCCCCACTTCACTACCTAACAGATCATATCCATACAAGGAAGAAAAAAGCATTCACATTCTGTTTTGATGCAATCTTTATTTTTTGAGAGTTCTTTTAGTAGAGTATGGAAAATACGTTATCCGTATTGTGTTCTTTTGTAATGTCATATATTTTATTGTATATGTAATTATTGTAAGGGCGGTTTGATAATGAAGCAAATTTTTTTTTTTTTAAATTATCTTAAGATGATTTAATGTGATGTTACAATAAAGAAACATGAGGTAATCGGATAAGATATTTTGCAATCTAAGGCCTCGTTCGTTTCATTGATTCGAGTTTAGAATTCGAGTTTAGATGTGATTTTATGTAAGAGCTTTTTACTGTAGGCAAAAAGTTAGATGTGATTGTTTGTGAGAGTTTTTTACTATAACAAAATTTGAATTCTAAACTCGAATCAGCGAAACGAACGAGGCCTAAACTACCATGTCTAAACGATAAAATAGAAAAGAAAATACAAAATCAACGAAAATTAATGAAATATTCGATTATTGAAAGTCGAGAGTACCGTTAAAATACTTGTTTTTAAGTATTTTTCACCCTACACATGTTCCCTTCTAAAGTTCATTCACATTATTCCAGCCCAAAAAAAAAAAAAAAAAAATTATAAAAAGAAAAATTTTCCTTTACTAATATTACTATTGCAAGAAACTTACTTCCATGAAATTCATCACTATCCACTATCAACATTGAAACTAGACACTGTAAAACCTATAGTTATAGATATTTAACAACACTATAGCAATAACTCTGCCCATAACTACCTAATAACTAGTTTTCACCATCCTTCTTTGTAACACAAAGAATCTAGCAAGATATGGGGACTTATTAATTAATAATGTGTATAAATACTACAAACAAATATATATATATATATATATATATATAATCCTTGCATTGGGAAATGAAGGTAATAAAGGAACTAGGTCGGGTGTTGGTAAGACTAGAAGGTGGTTATTCCAGACTTGGGTCTTTGGCTGTTCAATTTCTTGCATACAAAAGTTCCATAATATCAGAAGTTGTACATGAATTTGTAACTCAAATGGGAATTTTATTTTACTGCCACTTTTTCGCGTTAATTTTCTTTTTTTATTTGTTTTCTTTTTCTAGTTCATTTATGTAGTTTTTATTGGCTAGCTAGTTGGCTACTGAAATTGAAATCTTGACAGAATTGGTTTCAGAAACCAGCCATTTTTTTTAAAGGAACTTTGATATTGGCAATTTTTTCTCTCAGTTTTTGTCTCCCCCAAAACCCCATTTCCCCGCCTAGTTTGCTGGCTAAAAGAAATTATGTTATGAATTTCATGAAGTAAAATTTTATTTTGTCATGAGAATAGCAGTCCAGCTGGGGCACTTTAAAAATAGAAACCTAATTAGTTGTCCTAGTAAAATGGATAGCATGTGCAGAGTTAGAGAAAGGCAAAAAATAAATGAAATTAACTTTTTAATTTTCTGCCACATTGTATATATATACATACATATATATATACACACACACACACACACACACACATATATATATATATATATATATATATATATATATTCACACTACCTAATTCAACCCCTAATTATTAGGTTTTTTGTTTGATGACAAGATTCACCATTTTCCAAATAAGACCAAGTGATCTTAATTAATCACTATATTAAGAATTTTTTTGTGGTCACATTTTTTTTTCCTTTCTTGTGTGTTATAACTCATATGGTTCAATATGTTAGTAGAGAGTGATTCATAGTGAGAACCCCAAGGTACTCATTGTCACTAGTGTGCTTAATTCCCATTTATTTATTCAAAAACAAAAATTTCCTTCTCTAATTTTTGGCATCGTTCACTTCACGGATTCGAGTTTTCAATTCGACCTGAGATGTGACATTTTGTGAGAACTTTTCACTGTAGCAGAAAAAGTTAGATGTAATATTTTCTGAGAGTTTTTTACTGTAAAAATCTAAAACTAAAAACTCGAATCGGTGAAATAAACAAGACCTTTGTTTTTGTTTTTGTTTTTTGTTTTGTTTTTGGTTACGTGGGTAAGAGGAACCAAAAAATATAAGTGCCAACTCAGAAACACACAAAAACATGCGTTAAAATGCGCATGCAAGCATGCAATGAGGTAGACAAATACAATATTAGTATACGCTCGATCCCCTATTAAGAATAATAATTATGAGTCTATAATCTCTAAACTAAAATAAAAACTAAATAAATAAATAAATAAACTTAAGAGTGTGGGCAACAAATAGACAGACAATATGAAGCAGTAGTAAAGAGGGACAGCCAGAAAGTCCAATTTTGGGGATTGGGGGGGAATATAAAAAAATATTAGACTGCACATTAATCTAAAAGACATGGGTTCAGTTCCTGCAATCCTGGCAATAGAAACAGGATTAAATAACACTACCATTAATAAGCTAATATTTTAGTCCATGAAAAATAATATCAAATCAGCAAATGGGTAATTATAATTAGGGAAACTTTGTGATAGGATACTAATAAATTCAATAGTGAATGTCTTTTCAACTAAATAAGGAAAGTTCTTGATAAAATATAAAAGGTACCCTATTTAATCGGATTGATATGAGAAAAAGAAAAACACACACAATTAGTGGCCAAATGTGTTTGAAGTATTAGATTGCCGTCCCATTGATTCAAGTGAAATATAAGTAGTTAGAATGCGCTTTACTAAGAAGGAAACCCTTCTATAAAAGTATTTTTTATGAGAAAAAAATATTATAAAAAAATAAGAATCATGATTCAGAATCAGAGACGAATATAGAAAACAAACATCCCATTATAGTTTTTCTTTTTTAAGAATTTAAAATTATAAATAATCATCTTTTAAAATTCGAGATTATATGTCCGTCCCATCTCACTTATTTTTGACTCCGAGGAGATATATAGGTGAAGAAGTGGGCAATGCAATTAGTGAGGATATGGATGATGGGTTGGGGACAGCATGCTTGTGGGAAGTGAAGGTGTGGGCGTGAAATATAAATAAAATGTTTCCTTTGAATACAACATTAGTGTCGAGAGAAGGAAGGTGGATGAGGGCACAAGGTGATATGCCATTTCCCACTTATGTTTTTATTCATTTTTTATTTTTTATTTTTTATTTTTCAATCATCAATGACACAAGGCTCTATATAAACCACCAACACACACACACCTGACGAACCTCTGAATTTACCCATACTTTTTAGTTTTTTCCCTGCTAATTAATTATAATGTATTTTTATCTCTGAGTTGTTTTTTTAAAAAAATAATAATAATAACAACAATAGAGCACTTTTGTTTGTTTACTTTATTGCCCATTTGGGAATTGGGTTTAAACTATTACTATTTACTATCAGAATGTCCATTTTTAGCCTTTTTTACTGGTTTTTATTTTTTTTTTAAATGTCCATTTGGCTGTATATGTTGAGAGTTGCAAAGCAAAGGCCAACAAAAACGCACGAGTTTGTTTTAAAGATAAAAGATAATAAATAATCCATACTTTTTGTCTTCATGCAATAAGAAGAATCTCTATATAAATGTCTATCCATTTTAGTTGGTAGTTTTTCTTTCCAAAATATTAATTTGTAGTTTGAAAGTGCCTTAGTCAATTATATTGTTATTGTTAACTGGCCATCTTATATTTCGCATTTGAGGGTCATTCTTTCATATCTTTTTTTTTTTTTTTTTTTTGGCCAGTTTGATGCACTAAAATACAGAACAAGCGTTCCCCTATAGAGATATTATAGCTATATTAGCTTTAATCTTTTATTGGCCAGAAAAAGGGAAACAGAGATATAACAAGTGATCATAAGAAATGGATAAAAGTAAACTAATAGGTTGAATATTGCAGATTATAAAAGAATTTTTATTCTTTAATATTTGTGGTCAGCAAAAGAGATGGGTTTCTTATGAATCACCTACATAAATATATAATATTATATAGGGTATGTTACACAGTAAAACTTTAACAATTTATCTTCTGAACTTGTAATTTTAATATCAAATTTGTTTACATGTATATATATATATATATTGCTATTCTAATATGATTTAGATGTAGTCAACCATATAGCTACGTTGGAATGAGTGGGCTCCCACGCAATTTTTATTATTTCTAATTTAACATATAAATTTACTTAGTTTTCTAACGCACCCCACAAAAAATGCTTAACAACAATATTTTAAATTTAATTCGAGTAATTATGAAAAAAAATTTAAGACAAAGGAAAAGATAACAATGGTGGAAAATAATAAAAAAATTCATACCAACATCCTCTTTGAAATAAAATTCTAAATTTATTGTACGTGATGTAACATTCAGAAATATGTACAAATTTTTTTTATAAGATTAATCTCACCAAAATTTTAAGGGCATTTTCATTTTATCTTAAATTTTAAAAATTCTCACTTTATTTTTTAAATTTTAATTTTGTCTCATTTAAATCCTATTGTAAGAATTTATGTTGAAATTAGACGAAAAAGAAAGGAAATAAGTATAATTATGTGATTTTTATCTTTTTTTTAATAAAAATTTAAATAAAAAAAGTCTGTATTATTTTATTTATTTATTTTTAATAGAAATTACAATAAAAGAGTTAAATAAAAATAATATAAAATTTAAGAGAATAAAGTGAGAATTTTTAAAAAATTTAAAAAAAAAACTGAGAATAACATCGTCATAATAATTATTTATATAATATATATTGAGAGGAAAACAAATAGAAAATGAGAAGGTGGTCCGCGCGTGCCAAATTTTGATTGTTGTTGCCAAGCGTGCTAACTTGGGAAGGCGCTCACGTGTGATGAGGTTTATAAATACGCATTATATGGAAGAACTAAGAAGACGCACCCAACCAAAACTTGTGTAGTTGTCTCAAGCAAGCAAAGAAAGAAAGGAAGAGAAAAGAAAAGAAAGGAAAGCCAAAAAAAAAAAGTCGGTCTAGTTGATACTTGTATTTTTCCTTCACACTTGTATTATATTTATATATATATATATATATATAGGCTTTTAGGGGGGACTAAAAAGAGTCAGAGTTGTGGGAGATTCATGTATTACTCTAGTGAGTGAGACTTTCTTCTGATTTTCTGAAAAAGCAAAACAAAAGGGAAACTAGAAAAGAAGAAGAAAAAAGATAGAGAATTTGAGAGTAATGGAGATAGAGAGTGAAATGAAGCAATCAAGGTTTAGGAGGATTTGTGTCTTCTGCGGGAGTAGCCAAGGCAAGAAGACTAGCTACCAAGAGGCTGCCATTGAGCTTGGCAAAGAACTGGTAATAATACAAAAAAAATAATAATAAATAAATTTCTTTTCTTCTTTCATGGGAAAGTTTTCATCTTTTCTTGTAATGGGTTCTTTCCAAAATTGATTGTGGTCACAAGTTTTTACCTTTTTTGCTGTTTTATTACATGGGTTTTCTTCAAAATCTCATCTTTGTTACTTGAGCAGCAAGCACATTGTGTTTGTTACTTGGTCTAAGAGCTACTTACAAATTTCAAAACTCAAAGGCCTTTTCTCTGGTCCATTTGTTTCAGTGACATCATATTTAGATTTTGGTTATTTTGTTCACCCACATTTCTCATTTTAGGAAGATTTTTATCTTATAAACTTAAAAAGGAAAGAAATGGATGTACTATGGTGTTGAATATGATCATTGAAAGATCTTTTTCCATTCCATTTTTCTCCTCTTGCTTCAGTTTTCAATCAGTTTTATGTACTCAAAAGGACTGTTTTTTCCATATGGGTTTATGGAAAAATATCCCATTTTTGCCTTTCTGAGCTTACTAAATTTATGCTCTCTTGAAGGTTTCAAGAAATATTGATCTGGTTTATGGAGGTGGTAGCATTGGTCTGATGGGTTTAGTTTCACAAGCTGTTCATGATGGTGGTCGCCATGTTATTGGGTAAGTGAAACTGCAAGGTTCTTTTTTTTTTCTTTTTTTCTTTTTTTTTTTTAAATCTTACATGGTATAAACAGATTTAGAAAAGAAAAATCAGTGAGCTGGGTCCTTTTTTTTTCTATATTGTTTTTCATTTAGAAATTTTACAACTGATTTTTGTCATGTTATTGTCTCTCTGCAGAGTTATTCCCAAGACGCTCATGCCTCGAGAGGTATGTCTCCTTTATCTCTTAATAAAGTCACTAAACTTTTCTTATGTGAAAAGGAAAAAAAAAAAAAAAGAAAAGAAAATTGTCCCCAAGTTCACAATTTTATTCTTCTCATTTGACCACGTATTGGGTTCAAAATTTGATTCGTGTTCATTTCTTTTACTTTCTTTTCAAACAATTTGCTTTCTTTTCTTGGTTCACTTTTTTGCTTTTCTTTTTTGCCTGCTACTTTATTTTATCATATTATCAATTTTTTAAATCTATGTATTTAAACTTCTTTTTAAATATTTCGTAAAATTTTGTATCTTCCATAAATGTTTGGTCCTTGGTGGCCTTATCCATAATAATACTTGAGTATAGTTGGCAAAAACCATCATCATGATCATAATGTGTGTTGTTCTGAGTCACTCTCTGCTGGTTCTCCTCTGTTCTTCTTTTTCACTGCAGCAACCTTATATGATCACTTGAGCCATAAAAAGTATTATATTACACTATTTCACCTTTCTCCTGTTTTTTTCTTCATTGGCTTTTTCTATAAACCGAACTTTTTCTTTATTTGTTTATTTAATCATCATGCTAACAAGCTATGAGAAAAAAAAAATCACTGGCTGGGGAATAACTGGGGGCTAAAATCTTTTTGGATGAAGTCCACCAAGTTCTGCAACACCCATCATTGCTCCACTGCATAAAGCTCCAAAACTCTCTCTCTCTCTCTCTGCAGAAGTTTCAATTTCTTTAATATCATATTTGTGCTTTGGTTTGCTTTTGCAGTTAACTGGTGAAACAGTAGGGGAAGTGAAGGCAGTTGCAGATATGCACCAAAGGAAGGCAGAGATGGCTAGGCATTCAGACGCCTTTATTGCCTTACCTGGTTAGTCTAAGTCCTTCACAGCTCTCTCTCTCTCTGTCTCTCTGTCTCTCTCTCTTAATATATATATATATATATATAGACACACACACACAAATTTACATACACACATATATGGATAGTAGGATGTTAGTGTAAGTCCTTTACAACTCTCTCTATATGTATGATATAGACACATATGTATTGATGCATAGGATATTGTATGTGCATTTACATGCCACGCATATATATACACATATGTTTTTTCTATTTTAACTAGAAATGCATTAGTCGGTTACACTTGAATTATTGGGGGGGATGAACAAAGTGTATGGTCCCTCAGAGCTTTAATTTTATGGTATTGTGTAACACTGATCCTATGTCCTATTGTCATGTTCTTTCTGTCTTTTGAGATTTGTCAATTTCTGCTTTTCCTCATTTAACACTAACAACTAACGAAAAGGAGATGTAAAAGTACATAGAAAAATCCCAATTTCCTGAGTTTGCCCTTTAGTAGCTCTACTTCTAAGATTTCATTTGTATTATTATAGATAATAATGTTAAAAAAATGAAAAAAAGTCAACAACTTTGCAGATTACATTATCCACACACACAAACACACAGAGGAAGAAGAAGACGAGAAAATGTGCTTATTGATTGCTTAAGATTTCTTTCAAATTTGAAACTTTGTCAGAGAAAGAATCAAGACTATTGATCCTTGCTCAACATGGTAAACAATTGAATCATAATCCTTACAAGAAAGAGGCAAATTTCTCAACAAGTGGGGTCAAGAATTTTGTGTCAGGATAAGTCAAAATATGATTCTATCCTACTTTTCCCGGCACTGTTGGCTGTGACTCTTTGCTCTACAAAGTCCTGTGAGAATTTGCAAAATATCCCAACAAAGACAAAATGTGTAAAATCCCAAAATGTTAAAAAAACCTTTTTTCTCACTAATTGGGAAGACCCAAAAACCACCGTTTTCATTACCCGACAACATTTTACACTGAAAACTTTAGAGCTTCTGAAGAACCATGCTGTTGTGGTTTTACTCTGATAGCTTTTAGTGTTTTCCATTTTATTTTATGTTTCTGCCATAAATAGGGAAAAGGGCACATGTTTCACACTTTCACTGAATAGCTTTTGCTGTTTGGCTGCACCTAGCAAGGAATGATAGCTTGACTCTTCCAAAGACAGTCAAGCCATCTAATACTCTTCCCAGTTAGTAGGGAAGGAGGATGACATGCCGGGGCAAAATAGTCATTTTCTTTGTTTAATGCGATAAGAGTAATTAAGTACTAAGTACACGAGACCTATGTAAGCATGTTAGTATTTTGAGCATTGTTATTTATTGTGTCTACATAAAAAAAAAAAAACCACACTTTACTTTGTAGCCGTTTTGTTAGGCTTCATGGATGTTGATACATAGAATTTTTTTGTTTTTTGTTTTTTTTTTGGCAAAAAGAACAAACCCAAAAAAAAAAAAAAAAAAATAGAAGAAGAATGTCGGCTGGAGAAAAGTTAGTTAAGAAGATTAATAACCGAACGTGGTATGAAGGTGGATTTGAGAGACAACCATCATACATAAGACATGTCAAAATTGTCAAAATCCAAGGCCAGGGGAAAGGGAAAATGTAGTGCGAGTGAATTCTAATGTTGAGATTTCCTAGTATAGCAAATCTCTCAACTCTAATGGGATATGAAACTTGAAAATAAAATTGATTAAATGTTTTTGATAGACCTCGACTATTATTGATTTAATGGGTTTTTTTTTTTTTTTTTTTTTTAAATTATTTTTACATGCAGGTGGTTATGGGACTTTGGAAGAGCTACTTGAAGTGATAACATGGGCTCAACTTGGAATCCATGATAAACCGGTAAATTTTCATGTTTCTCCATTTTAATAGCTTATAAATTAATCACTTGCTTCCTCTAATATTTTATGTTAATAACCACCATTAATGTCGTTACATCTGGCATAAATTGCAGGTCGGGTTGCTTAATGTTGATGGATACTACAATTCCTTGCTCTCATTTATTGACAAAGCTGTGGAAGAGGGATTTATTAGTCCAAGTGCACGCCACATAATTGTTTCAGCCCCTACTGCTAAGGAGTTGGTGAAGAAATTGGAGGTAATTCTAAGGAATTCCCTTACTAGCACATATTTAACTTCTTGCGAAAATAATAAACTTCACAAAAAAAAAAACAAAAAAAACAAAAAAAGTTTTACGACACATTTGGAACTAAAATATAATTTCTTAGGAACAAAAAGATCAAAACAAAACAATAAATTCAAATCTACATAATTCACAAAATTTAATTGTGACACTTGTATTTACAATATTCATAATGTATATCATTGCTTAATGTGTCATTGTTTACATAAAAAAATTCTAATATGCAACCAAATGTGATAATACCAATTTTCTGAGAATCATATTACCCTTTATTACATTCATGGTAATATGATTTTTCACTGATTACTGCATGCCAAATGTTCCTAAAGCATAGCCACTTCAATAGTTTTAATCAATGCAACTATACAATTCTTGATTGTCATTTAAAATGTTTTCATTTATTATCTACTTTTATGTGATAGGAGTACGTCCCTTGCCATGAAAGTGTCGCTTCAAAGTTGAGCTGGGAAACAGAGCAGCTTGGCTACCCTCAAACATTTGACATCTCTAGGTGATAACGAGGTTGCAAAGTTTGATGAATTCTGGTTGGGCTTTTGGAAGTTGAAGCAGTTAATTTGGAGAACTTTTGGATTCCTTTGTTTTGTGGAGGGAGTTTCCTCTTTTTCTTCTGTAAATTACTGAAATTGACCTACAATATATGTGGAAAAAAAAAAAAAGAGAAAGAAGCTTCAACATTCCCTTTTTTTGTGGAACAACTTTGGTATCCTTTTGTTAAGTTGTAAGTACCAAGAGATTGCTGAATTTACCCTTGAAAGATGTCAACTAATTTATAAATTTTTATTTGGGTTTCTCTTCCCTTCACGTCTCTTTTCTTTCCAATTTGTACGCTAAATCGACGGCACTAACAAACCTCCTTGTATTTTTCCCCTTCACAAGTCCAAGTCAAATGCTTTAATGAAAAAGCTTGATAGATGAATTGTTGCGACTTATGAGAAGACAAATATGACCAATGTTATATCTATCTATAGAGTAATATTAGAGATATCAAGTCAAATTTTAACTCTTGTGTATTAATTAATATGATATGTGAGTTGTCACTTTTATTTAATAAATGCAATCTCTTATCAAATTGACGTGGTAATATTGTAAACATCCACTAGAATAAAAATGACAATTCATATGTCATATCAGTTGGTATACAAAAATTAAGAATTGAGATGTTGTCCCTAGTATTATTCCTTTCTCTAACACTATGTTTGATGGAGGTAAAATGTGGAAGGGAAGAAAAGAGTTGAATATTTTCTTTTAAGAGAAAATGGAATTCTGAGTTATTCCATAAGAGAGAAAAGAGACGGAAATTTAAAAATAATTTTTAAACAAAAAAAAAAAGCCTATAAGAGATGTTTAAAGAGAAACTTAATACCACTTGTCTGAATAGGAGACTTATTTTTTTTTTTCTTGTTTTCAAACCGAAATAATATTTAATAAACTAGTAAAGTAATCATTCATTTGATTATCTGTTTTCCTTTCCATTTATTAGTACACAAAGGAAAGGAAAAAAATTTCCCTTTGGAATCATATTTTCCCTCAACAAAGTGTTAGAATAGTCTTGTTATTATCACCATAAATTTTTTAAGAGAAAATGAAATTGTTGGTTATTTGATTGGAGAGAAAAGAAAAAGGAAAAAGGAAAAAAAATAAATAAATAATAAAGGACCTACTAGAGATGTTTGAAGAGTAACTAATATTAATTCTTGTTTAGTTGTTTTCAAACCAAAATAACATTAATAAATGAGAAAAATAATGACTCATTTGATTTCTTTACCTTTTATGAGTAAGCAAAGTAAAGGAAAACAAGGCAATAAAGGTTTTGTCTAAATACTTGTTGGCATAGAGAGAAAAGTTAGTGAGAGAGGCTTTAAGAAAGAAAGAAAGTTTTAGTGTTTGGTCGGAGTTCCAACACTGTTTTTGAGCGCATCGTTAGGTTTCTGGTCCTGAAGTTTGGTCTATGTACTCCTCTCGACATCGGCTTTCTCGTGATGGTGGTTGAAGGTGGAGCAGCGCATCTGTTGGGGCGGATCTACACTCTTATTGGGTGTTGATTTGTCAAGTGGTGAGATTCTTTTGGAGGTGGTGTTTCCTTTCTTCTTTGATGGCTGTAGGGTTCGTGGCTAATGTCTCCTCCATTTTGTTGCAGTCCTCCCACAATCCTCCACCTCCTTCGGGTGTGCTTTCCTTCTGAGGTGGCTCCGCTCAGATCTGACTTTCGTTCTATGATCGATGGCTTGCTATAGGTGGATCTTTCTTTTGTTTAGTTGTAATAAGGGCATTGATGCTTCCGCCCCTTTGGTGTTTTTTTTTTACTGTGGTATTTTTGTTTCGGTAATAACGGAGATGTCGTTATCCGCTTGTGTCACCCACTCATTTGTAAATGGTGTGGTGTTTGATGTCCGGCTAGAGTTCTCTCTATGTTGTGTTGTGATTGCCCCCATTATATGGGGATTGGTCTCGGTCTACTGGGCTAGTCCATCACTGTGTTGGTATTGTTTAACGAGCAATGGTCAAGCTCGGAGTTGATGTGCCGAGTGGGTATTTTTCTGTTTGAGTCTCGGTACTTATATTCACCCCGTACTATTGTGGTATTTACTGGTGGATCTAGTCTTAAATTTGGAGTCGAATTCTTTTGTATTTAGAGTCATTTGTATCTTGTGTAATTTGTTTTCTGTGAAATAAATTTTTTTATTTAAAAAAAAAAGAGTAAAGGAAAACAATTTCCCTTTTGAATCATATTTTCCCTCTTTATGTTTCTTGATCAATATCCCAATGAAGAGGTAATCTAATTAGGAGTTTTGAGTGTTAGTGATCAAAGAGAAAAGAAACGGAAGAGTCAACTCCTTAAAAACAGACAATGTTACCCCATGTGTTCAAGTACCTTCCCACTGCTAAAAAAGTTTTTTTGAGCTGTTGAGGCAACAAACAGAAAACAGAAGAAGCCTAAACCTAACAAAAACCACCAAAAAAAAAAAAAGAAAAAAAGAAAAAACTCAAGAGGGGAGCAAGTGGATATTGATTTGAAGTGCCAACGGCGGGGGTCCTCATAAGTTTGGAAGGGTAAATGCCCTATATACCGTCCAACGAAAGGGACAAGGACACGTGTTAAGATAGGGCCACTTTGTCAGGAAACATATGAGGGAAGTAAAAGGGCCTTGGTGTTATGGACATTTAGGACAAGGACACAACAGAACAATCCTTCTTGCCTTCTTTTGGTCCCAACCCCATTTTTTGACCTCTCAAAGATAAAAGACAATAAGGGTAGAGATATGTGTATCCAGAAATCTCGAATTAGTTCATGAAAACAAAGATAATTGAATTATCGAATTGGAACTCAAACTTTTGCCTTTTAAAATTATAGAACACAAGCCTTATCGGTTATAGGTTAACGCGGTCGGTTTTGATTAGTTTCCGGTTAGTTGATCAGTGATCGAAACTAACTTAGACCATGTTCATTTCACCGATTTAAGTTTAGAATTCGAGTTTTGTTACAGTAAAAAGCTCTCAGAAACAGTCGCATCTAATTTTTTTGTTACAGTAAAAAACTCTCATATAAAGTCACATCTCAACTCAAATTAAAAACTCGAATCAACTAACTAAACGGATCCTTATTGGTTCTACTAAAATTGAAACCAAAGAAGATGATGTGAACCCAAGAAGAGGATTCAAACCCAATAAGATAGGATTGTAGATTTACTGATAAACTATACCTACAACCACAAATGTAATAGCGTTTAGTTCAGTTAAAGTTACGCTATATTTTCAAGATAAATTCACAACGCAATAACTCTTGTTTTTTTTATATGTATAAATAATATTCCATTGTCTTATTTATTTATTTTGTTTGAACTTTTTATGGTTCAAAATAAAAGGTTTTACTATTAAAGATTGGTGTGTTCAGATAATTTCGCACTATATTATTGGAACCTTTATTCTATTAAGATTAGAGGATATTATCTACTCCTATATCCCAACTCTTTTGCCTGCATTTGATTGTTGACTAAGGAGGAGGATGATGTTGAAAGAGGACCAAATAAAAAGTGCAACAAATCGTGTCAGTTCATTAAACTCTCCTTTCGTTGTCAAAACCATCGGACGATTTCTTTGCTTTTAATGATGCCGTATGGAAGATAAAAACTTGAGGAGGAAAATAACAACATTGAAAAAGAAAGAGTTGTTGGATAAACAAAAAAGATGAAAACAATGAAGAGAGAATACGTAATTCTATTTGTGGATATACTATGATTATATCCAATAGGGAAAAATTGGCTTTCGTTTTATATATGCTAACCATTTTTAGCCATTATAAGTGGAATCTTTTTTTAAGGGTTTATGCACAACCTTTTGTTGTCGTTTGATGTTTTGAAAGGAGAAAAGGACAATGCCGACAAATATCGTTGATTATTGACATGTGTAAATGTAAGATGACTAGACTAAGAAACAATTTGCAAATGGTTTTTGATAATTCGTATCTTTTTTTTCCATGGATAAGAAAGACATCAGCCTCAATATTAATCTCATCCAACGTAATAAAGAAAAAAAAGAGAGAATGAGACAAATACTCTTTTAAAATAAATGAGTCTAGATTTTTATTAATATTTGTTTAGTTAAATAATTATATTAGTTAAAAAGATATTTATAATTAAAAGTAAAGGGTAAAAATCAAGACTCATTCACTTAAGTTAACCCTGTTTACTTCATAAGTTTGAATTATTGTTTAAACTTTTTTGTTACAGTATTTTCTCTTATAAAAATTAAGACTCGTTCACTTAATTATTGGTACGTCTATCGTACCGGTAGGTTAGGTTTTTTAACTTTTAAATTTGTATATTTTTTGATTTTTACGTGATTTTATGCAGATCTGACGGACAAAAAACTTGACCTACCGGTATGTTAACGTACCGGAGAAGGTGGTCCCTTTTAATAAAACTACTTTATTGTTTATCATAATCTGAAATTTGCTTGATGCAATACTATAAACCACTTGTCGTTTCCTTAACAAATATTTCCAATCATTTTAACATATAAACGGCATGCCGTTTTTATTATGGCTTGATGTCGTTTAAACTTTGCAAAGCGACATGTCGTTTGGAATCAACGACTGGACACATCGGAACGGAATTGGATGCCCAAAAAAAGCATCAAACAAGCAGCATTTATATATTTATTTGCTTAAACAATTTTTTACATGCATTAAAGTTTAAAAGGCATATATAAATTGGTCGTTTTCCTTCACCCAACATTGATCCTTTGAAGCCTGAGGCACAAAACAGACGGCAAAGCAAGTTGTCCCTGCAAAGCAAATTCTATACTTGAAAACCGCTATTACAGTTTGGTGGTCTAGGATGTAATGCCACTTATATATTATATATATGGTCACATTATCATCACCTTTCAAGGTACCTCTCTCTCTCTCTCTCTCTCTCTCTCTCTAAAAAGTTGCTTCCAAGCTTTCTTAAGTCCAAGAGAGAGCCTTTGCTTTATACCTAAGGAACAAATATTGCCAACTCTCTTTTTAATAACCCCCTAACGTACCTTCCATCTCATGACCGGTACTATAAATACTCCAATTGCTTCTCTTCTTTTGGCATCCAAATTTTTAAGCTCCAATTTGTATTTACATACATACAGACATATATATATATATATATATAGATAGACACACACACATATATCAACTTTCAACGTCTCGTATAACATGGCAATTATAAACAAAATATCACTCTTTTTCCTCTTTTGCTATATTGGCTTTCTTTCTTCCGCGGCTGAAGCTGCTCTTAAAAAGTATCAATTCGATGTGAGTTACTATAAAAATTGTGTCACCTTTCGATGATTTTAACTTTGGTTTTCGTCACATTACTTACTTTTATATATCATTATATACAGATTCAAGTGAAGAATGTGAGCAGGTTGTGCCATGCCAAACCAATAGTCACCGTAAATGGAATGTTCCCAGGACCAACGATTTATGTGAGAGAAGGAGATAGACTTCTTATCAATGTCACCAACTACGCTCAATATAACATGTCCATCCATTGGTATACATACATATATATATGTCCTATATATCTACATTATATTTAGTGATTATGTGTGACACAAAATTAATGTTATATATATATATATATGACATTATGTTTAATATATGTCTAGGCATGGGTTGAAACAATTTCGAAATGGTTGGGCGGATGGACCAGCATACATTACGCAATGTCCAATTCAGACAGGCCATAGCTATAAGTATGATATTAATGTCACGGATCAGCGTGGAACGTTATGGTGGCACGCACATATTTTGTGGCTTAGGGCCACGGTTTATGGTGCCATTGTCATCATGCCTAAAGAAGGATCCTCATTTCCTTTCCCTCAACCTTACCAAGAAGCCAATCTCATCTTAGGTTGGTAAATTTTTTTATTAAACTTTCCTTCTAAGGTCAAAAAAAAAAAAAAAGAAGAAAGAAATGTGGAAACTTTGAAGTTTTTAATCTTAGAGCAAAGATAGACATCCTAAAATATATTAAAAGCCAGATGTGTCAAAATTATGCTAATTTGCCAAGTGATAGTCCAATTGGTAAAGGGTGTGGAGGATTAATGGAGATATCCCATGCTCGAATCTTAAGAACAGATAGCAATGAATAAAAAAAAAATCGTGCTAATTTAATTTATGAAATTGTTGGCTTAGCTTATTTACACACAACGAGTTAAAATTTTATGACGAGTCATGACTTTTTTTTATAAGATTAAATTTCCTTTTTCTTAATCTTATGTGCAAACTAACATTAACTATATATTATATGTATATTATACAGGAGAATGGTGGAATTCAGACGTTGAAACGCTTGTTAACCAAGCAAATAAGTTGGGGTTGCCACCACCATCATCGGATGCTCATACCATCAATGGGAAACCAGGCCCTCTCTTCCCATGCTCAGAGAAACGTAAAAAAAAAAAAAAAAAAAAAAAAAAAACAAAATTTTTTTTTTTTTTTTTTTTTTTTTTTTTTTTTTTTTAATTTATTTGTAACCATCTCATAAATAGCTAATTTTCTTACACATTTCATTTTCAAACGACAGTAATAAAAGTACCTAAATTCCTAATTTTTGTAATTTTCTTTTGGAATATAATTATTTTCAGATACGTTTGCCATGGAAGTTGAGAGAGGAAAAACTCACCTCCTTAGAATCATCAACGCTGCACTGAATGACGACCTTTTCTTCGCCATTGCCGGCCACAACATGACTGTGGTGGAGATTGATGCCGTTTACACTAAGCCATTCACAACACAAGTCATACTAATCGCGCCGGGCCAAACGACAAATGTGCTTGTCAACGCCGACCAGCCTCCAAACAGATACTTCATGGCTGCTAGACCTTTTATGGACGCGCCGATTCCGGTCGACAACAAGACCGTCACGGCCATTCTTCAATACAAAGGCGTTCCAAACACTGTCGTTCCGATCTTACCCCGATTGCCTGCTCCAAACGACACCAAATTTGCCCTAAACTACAACGGCCAACTCAAGAGCTTGAACACCCCCCAATTCCCGGCAAAAGTCCCTCTCAAGATCGACCGCCGCCTTTTCTACACCATCGGTTTGGGGCAAAACCCTTGCCCAACATGCCTAAATGGGACGCAGTTGACAGCTTCACTGAACAACATCACCTTTGTGATGCCTAGGGTTGGCCTTTTGCAGGCTCATTACTTCAACCTTTCGGCGGTTTTCGCGATGGATTTCCCCGACAGGCCTCCGGTGCCGTTCAACTACACAGGAGCGCCGCTCGCCGCCAACCTCGGGACTAAGCTGGGGACAAGGCTTAGTAAGGTGGCGTACAATTCAAGCGTTGAGTTGGTTTTGCAAGACACCAATCTTTTGACGGTTGAGTCCCATCCTTTTCACCTTCACGGGTTCAACTTCTTTGTTGTTGGGAGTGGAATTGGGAACTTTGATCCCGCCAAAGACCCTGCCAAGTTTAACTTGGTTGATCCTCCTGAGAGAAACACTGTTGGTGTTCCTACTGGAGGATGGACCGCCATAAGGTTCAGAGCAGATAATCCTGGTAAGTGTTTTGCTTAGAACATATATATGTATAAATTAAATTATGTTGCTTAAATGAAAATGGTAATTTTTTTTTGGTTTTATGATACATATGTGATATGTTCACATTTTAACTATAGAATAGACCTACAAAATGGCAATTTTAAGTTGGTTTACCATTAGTGTAGTAATTGTATTATTTTTTCATGCATATAGTGTCACACTCTAGAGGAAGTAATTTTGTTTATAACATGTTCATACAAACAAGGAAACATTAGTATATGTATAATTAGTGATAATCTCCAGGTTTAATTTTAACCTATCACATCTTGACAAATTTCTAATTGGTTAGTACAACTAGTGATATATATTTCGTATATTTTTCAAATATACGCATATAGTTTCAAACACTTGTGGCACAATATTGCAAGATGGTGACTATTTAGTAATAGCACTTTCTAGGACAATGCATGACTTTGATAGAATAGCTTGATATAAATCTAATTAGCGTTTTTGTACAATATATATACTAAAACATTGATTCCTGATTAAAATTAACTATAATTAATTACATACAGGTGTATGGTTCATGCATTGTCACCTTGAGCTACATACAATGTGGGGTTTAAAAATGGCTTTTGTGGTTGAGAATGGAAAGTCGCCGAGTGAATCTATTTTACCACCACCCAAAGATCTTCCACCGTGCTAGAGACAACCATTTAATTAACACAAGGAACCATTCTTTCTTGATCGTGGAGCTACATTTTCCTCTAAAATACCCCTTTTTCTGAAGTTATTAATTGTTTATAATTTGATTGATTAACTTTTTTTTTACATGTAATGTTTCTCGTGATTCTTTATGAACAACTCTTCATAATTGTAACATTTTGAAACATTCAGGGTCTCAACGAGACTGCAAAAATTGTGAAATAAAATCCAACATATTTTATGGTTTATCATTTTTTTTTCTTTTTTGCAATGACTTCACTAATTAATGATAATAGATCAAAAGTTTGGAGTACAAGTAGTACGCCCACTTTCCTTATGAATAATAAACAAATCAACAAAAAAACTGAAAGTTCACCCTAACCAAGTACATCTAAACAACATAGCAATTTAGTCCTTATTACCTAGCTAGCTAGTAATTAATAATTCACAAAGGAAAAATTAACTACAAACCATACCAAAACAAAGCCATGCACGGATTATTTAATTTAGTTAGTTTCATGAGCTATTTCAAAAACTCAATGAGCTACCACGTCACCATTCTCATGATTCTCTACTTTTCCCTCCAAGGCTGACTGATGATCATGGTGATCTTGTGCAACTCCAACCCTGCCGTTGACTTTTGACTCTTTGCTTTGACCATTAACACTAATAATTGGCTGCGATTTCTTCCTAAAACCAAACCTTTTGGGAAGCAAAGTCCAACTACTCTTCTTCGTCTTGGCCAGCTTCTGAAGCTCCCTTCTCATGTTGGAACACTCCTTTTCGATCTCCGAAACCCGAAGACTCATGTCGCCATCGTTGACGCATTGGAAGTCCTGTGAAGCGTCGCCTTTGGGGATGAGACCGTTGTTGTTAAGGTTGCTGATTCCGTTGGGAAGAGCCGGCTGGGAGTTTTCGAGGTTGCCGGAGACGAAGAACCAGCTGGAGATGGATGCTCGGAGGCGGAGCTGCTCCAAGAAGACGACTTGGACGATGACTCGGAGAGGAAGCCTTTCGTTCTGGGCTGCATGAGTGCTGGCTTCTAATGAGAGCTTTTGGCAGTTCATTAGTCTGCAGAGCTGTTCCCTCTCTGAATCAGCCAGCCATGGATGTGCCTTCAATTGCAATGTATATATGCATATACAAATTATTTATATATGTGATAACTTACTAGATTTATCTGAAATAAGAATGACCATAGGAAGTTGGTATATATATATACATATATATTTATATATATGATGGAGTTAATTAGGCTTATCAGATTAACTATAAACAATGATCATACATACGTTTAAAATGCTTGTGACTCCATGAAAATTTAAAAAAAAAAAAAAAAAAAAAAATCATGTGCTTATTCAACAATATATATATATATATATATATATATCACTAATGATTTTGGATTATTACCTTCAAGTAGACGTCAATTGCTTTGTAAATACCATCATCAACAGGCCTGGCATAGTCCGGTATAACAGTAGCAAGTGCCTGAAACTTTGGCAACTTCAAGTTGACATCCACCGCCACCTCAGCAAGATACCCATCAACCAGATTGGCCACCATTGTCACAGGTGTCATCGTGTCGTTGGCTGCCACAGCACTAGTACTACTACTCACCACTTGCCCTTGATCTTGATCCCCCAACATTGCCTCCTCAACAGCCATGAAATGGTCAAGAATCCTCTGAACACAATCTATATCATAAAGGGTCTCCACGGAATACACCATATTCGGCACAAGTAGGTCCACAAGCAAGACTTGATCCAACTGGGCCCCAATTATCTTCTCCAAATTCTCCCTACATGAAGGACTCGCATGCAAAACCATGGCCACGCGAAGAAGCCTAAGTAAGACTTTAGAAGATGTCACACCCTTTTTGTTCGGAATCAACCCGACGATCCCTTCGAGAAGATTCCGCTGATCGGCCTCGGAAATCGGCGCTCCGGTGTTGACATAGTTGAAGTCGTTCAAGCTCGTTTGTGTGTTCATCAATGGAAGGTATTTTTTGGCGTAGTGTATTATTGAGGCAGAGATTGTCTCTGGCTTCACTACTCCTCTCACTTCGATAGCGGAGATAAGTCGTTTGTAAAGAGGCAAGCTGAGGAACGACACGTCGTCGAACCACCACTCCTCGCCGGAGGGGATTAGTGGCTTGGTTTGGTTGTCGTGGTGAGCGCATAATATCCCGTTCCACAAAGCTGTCGTTTTGGGGGTTTTGACGTCGTTTTGGTCAGGAGGAGCTGGCCAGTTGATGAGCAAGCTAGGGTCTGAACATGCCTTGGTGGCGAGAGAATCGATACATCTCGAGACAATGTGGAGATCCTCCGCGAACGATTGGACTTCTTCGCAGGTTTCAAGGGCTTTAAGGGAGTCGGACCAGTTGGTGAAGATGTCGTTGAGGAAAGCTTCGGTTAGGGAGATGAGATTTCCTTCGTCGAAATCTTCGGTCATTTGGAGATACTCTGAGGTGCATCGGAGGGCGACCGTGTTGGAAGAGGAGAGCTCGGTTTTGACGCCGTAGCAGAACTTCGCGACGAGCTCGAAGGCTTTCGCTCCGCCGGGGAGGTCGTGGAGTTGCAGAAACGAGGAGGGTGTTGATGATGCTTCTTGATCATGATGATCGGAATTGGAGTCTTCGATGAGCTTTTCCAATAGTCCACTTCTAGAGAGCAAAGGGAACTATATGCAACAAAATGTTAGTGAATGATCAATTATCTTAAATGAGATTTTTATGGGAGTGTATGAACATACCAGATAGGTAAGGCTTCAGTTTTAAATCGTTAAATCTATGTAACATTTACTACAATAAATAGGAAATTAGACGACGCTTATAGACGTTTTTTAGAAAACCATCATCTAATGTACTAAAAAATACAGTAGGAACACAAAAAATCTATACATGCACATTAGATGACGGTTTTTAAAAACGTCATCTAATGTCAAAAAATTTCAAAAAAACACATTTTTTTCCGCTCATTTTTTTTCAAAAATTTTAAAGCGTTGATAGCTCATCTATAACTTCGAGTGTTTTTTTACAAACTCTAAGTTTGTTATCTCAAATCTCCCCATATCTCCAAAAAGCTCTCTCTCTTCCTCACACCCTAACTCTCTCTCTCTCTAACTCTTCTCTCAACACTTCAAATTTCTATATGTACTTCTCACTTCCTCAACTTGGCCGCCGCCTCCAAGGGCCTCACAATCATGCTCATATGTCAATGGCCTTCGTGACTTTACCTCTATATCCGCCACTACACCATGACCATCAAAATGGATACTATTTTAATATTTAGAAATTTCTTCTCTTTGAGATTAGTTTTTTTTTTTGGGGGGATTTAATGTTTTATCTAAAATAATTAGGTTTTTTTGTCGTTAGATTTCGTAAAAAGACTTTTGGTTTTGAAATATTTGTGTCACATATATATTAATTATGTATAAGAAGGTGAATTTGTAACTCTTTTCTTGAATTTTTTTCATGCGTGTTGTTCAATGACTTGTGATAACATTTGAAGAAATAATTTTTTTTTTAGAAAGAATTAGATTCGGTAAATATATATATTAATTTTTTAATACTTTTAACGATAATTTTTGTGAACTCTTGTGGTGTCTCACGCGCGTATTAGACGACAGTTAAAAACCGTCGTCGTATCTCTTAGACATTTAACGATTGTGGATATGACGATAGTTTTTAAACGGTCGTTATATCTTTTGACAACGATTTAAACCGTCATCTTATCTCCTATATATTTATTCTAGTGATTTTGTTAGTTTTATATGCTATTTTACTTTGATGTGTTTTTAATTAAATGTAACACTTCTTACTCTATGAGAGGAATCTCTTTAACTTAATTGGAAAAAAAAGGGGGAAAGTTTGCAATATGTAGGGAAAAAAAAAAAAGAGGAAAAGAAAAGTCCCCCTATATATAGTAGAGTACTTCTAAGGGTATTGAATTTTTGGGTGTCAAATCATATTAAAAGCTTATTAGAATTGAACAATATTATATGTAAAATCAAAGGGATTTAGATAATTAAAGACAATATGAAACGCATAGACAAAAAAAAATATTGCCCAAACGGTACTACATCTTAACGGCAAATGATTTTAAATTGTTAAATTTATATAATATTTAGGACGCATATAATAGAAGTATCCACAAAAGAAATATTATATGAGGAATGAATGTTTTCCAGTCTTTAATGTATAATTTATGGTCTAGTTTTAAAACGTCAAAATTAGGTTTTTTTTTTTTTTTTCAAGTATAATTTAACATTCACAAATAGCCGTGATGAGAAAAATAATAACGGAGTGGAATTATAGAATGAAAATGAAAATCACCTTGTGGAGTTGAAAGGACATGTCTCCAACTTCAATTGTGATATCGCTCGGAAGTTCGGTTGTGCAGACCCTGACAATAAAAGAAAAAAAGTTATTATGACACTAATCACACAAGATTAATTCTGCTTCGTCATGAAAATAAATACCATTTTTGTAATTATCAATTAACGCTCATGATTAAGATCCATATATAAAACTCGAAGATTCTGAATAAAAATTAAAAAGATATGAAATGATTCATGGTAAGAATAGAAAATAATGTATAAGAACATTGCTCTAATCTGTGTTTGAAGATTAATTACCAAGTTTGGCCATCGCGATGGAAAGCTTCAGACTTAGAGCCAAGCCTCAAGCAAGCCATGATATTGTCTCTGTCTTGCCTACTATCTGTAATTAGTCTTTCAGTTCCGAAATGGGAAATATTAAATATTGTTAGAACTTAAAACATAATTAGAGAGAGTACGCTAATCAAATATTGACTATGTCCCGAGGATAAACTCTAGCTAGGGTTAATCATTTGAAAATGTCAAACGTGCATGCAAGTGATGACGTGGCAGTTATGAGAGAGAGAGAGAGAGAGAGAGAGGGCGAGTCCAAAGCAAGAAGGTGGACGAGTTTGTTAAGAGTGAAGCGGTTCAAGAGCTATAATGGCTCCGTTTGGTGAGGCACTTCCCAACATGGGCTTCATCTAACCTCCTTATTAGTAGGCAGCTAGTTCAAGCCCATTATTCTTATTTTGGGCTCTTTCGAGGGGCCCATTATGCTTGGGCTGTTCTGTGAAATTGTCAACTGTGTCAAACTCTAAATATTTTGGGTAATCTCGACAAATAATCTTACCTTTAAAGGAAAATAGTAGAAAATAGGTCAATATAAAAAGCTTAAAAAAGTATATAAGTCAATTTTTAGTTATATAAATTAATAGACCATAACTTGTCAAGTTATGGTTCATACACATATAAGTTATGGATAAACTTGTCAAGTTATGGTTCATAGCCAGACAAGTTATGGACAAAAATCGTGAATAACTTGTCAATAACTTGTCAAATTATGGTTCATAACTAGACAAGTTATGGACGAAAACAGTAATTTGGCCTATTTATTAACTTATGTAAACTATTGGCCTATTAATTTTAATTCATCTCAAGTCTTGGCCTATTTCTCTCTTTCTCCCATAATCTTTAAAAGTGTATGGATCAAAATTTTTACTCTTTATTCTTAATTTATAATCATTTTAGTCAAATAGTTACACTAATAAAATGGTATTTATTAAAAATAAGAGGTAAAAATCCAGATTCATACACTCTTAAAGATAAATTCTGCTATTTGCTCAATAAATTTTGGCGAATGCATTGCCAAATTTGAGTTTTCTCCGATTCATGGTCCACCCTCAATACTGTTTTTACAGATTCATTTAATTGCTCAAGTCGTTTGGTTATTTAGTATTTATTATATGGCTAAATTTTAATGTGTATGTGTGTCGTCGAAATTATATTGGGGGACAATAAATGAAAACAGAAAAATTCGGAATAACAGGATCTAGACTCACCAAATTTTAATACTTTAATCAATCATATGATTTTCACATTGAATGGAACGATGGAAAATTAAATATGCAATATTGGACGCGATTCTTAGTATTGAAAAAAAAAATAAAAAATAAAAATAAAAATAACCCAAACATTAGATCGGATGCTTCCAAAATTATTGGTTTTGTGACTGGTTTCCGCCTTCAAAACTTTCGTCTTAGGTATAGTGAAAGACAAAATGAAAAGAAAAGATCGTCTATCAACTTGTCTAAATATCTTATTCAGTTTGTTGAATGTCTCAACATGAATAGTTAGCCATTTCAGAAAGACAGATTGGGACAAACTGAATTTCGATTTAATCTTATGACAGAAAAAGTGTTGTATATCATGGCGAGTGCCTTATGTCATTGTTGTTTGACACCAACCAAAATACCTCCAAACCGGAAGAGAGAGAGAAGAGAGAGAGAGAGAAGAGAGGAGAGAGAGAGAGAGAGAGAGAGAGAGAGAGAGAGAGAGAGAGAAGAAAGAGAGAGAGAGAGAGAGAGAAGGACATGAATGAGGTTGGGCCACCACAATACAAAGATGCTTAATTAAACAGGTCGCCCACGGTTTTCTGGTAGTAACAAATAAGTTAACAAGAATTGATCCAACCTCTATATATTTTTATAAAATATATATCTATATTTATATTATTGGTCTTTAAATTCAATTTTTTTTCTCGGACACTTTCCAACTATTTTTTTTTTCATTATTCTTTTTGCTGAACTGTTTATATTTATTAGTTTGTAATTTTATTTTCATTTTTTAAAGTTGTTTATCTGACGTTTAATCAACTTTGAGCTAATTTGGAGTTTTTTTTTTTTTTTTAAGATTTATGGATGTTAAATCTTGCTTCATTTTTTCAACTGCAGTGTTTAAATTTTATCAAAAAAAAATCTAATAAATAGGGTGAATAAGAAAATAAAAAAAAATGTACGAAAAGTTGAAGCGTAAACCCAAGACGTTCAATCTAAAACAATCTTAATTAGATTAGATTGGATGATACACTAGTAATTAGATTAGATTGTATATAATTTTTAAAAATCTATACCCTAGTAATTTAAATGGATTGGATTGGATGATATACTTGTGATTTGATTGGTTTAGTTATTATTTGATGAAAATATATTGGATTTGATTGGATGAACACCTTTAAGAAAAAAAAAAGGAAAAAAAAAAAAAAAAGCATTTCTATATCAGAGTGTTTTTATGGTTGAATTCATAAGCAAATTAAAGCAATCAAGTGGCTGCGCCGGCATCGGCAACCCAGACGGCTGTGCAGCCGCCTCGGCCAACCTGTTCTACACGTGTGAGATTTTAATGTTTGTCTCCAACCCATCTAAATCTAACCAATTTTTCTATTCCAATTCTATATTTGGACTTAGGAGTGCCTCTATCATTTCTATTTTTTTCCCTTTAAAAAATAACTCTTTAATTTGATAGTTAGCTTAGCACCATTTTCATTAATATATATAGTTCCATCACTTAATCTATACTATATTTTATATTTATTTTTAGTTTTTTTTAATAGGGATATTAAAATCTAATGCGTCACAACCGGCAATATCACATGAAACTTGTCTCAAGTGTATGGTTCATCTCAAACACATAATCAATGAAATTAAATATACTTTAACAGATTTCTTCTCAAGAGGGAAAATTTAAAAATACTATAATTTTTTTCCGTTGTCACATTCATGTGATTCAATAACACCATATTGGCATATTCTATATAGTTTTTAAAACTCAAATAAGACTTTCACAGCATAGCAAATAATATAATGGAAATATAGAAATCGAATTCGTCACAATCAAATTATATATATATCACAAGTGTACGGTTGAACTAAAAACAATAATCAATGAATTAAAAGCATATTTTTTTAATTCATAAGGTGAAAAAAATCCTTTGCAAGAATTTCTGAGTTGTCACGTACTTTATAGTTCAATAAAAGCATAATTTTTAATCATTTGTGGAAACCAACCAAAATTTCAAATGAAAAACATTGCAAATTAATGCAATACTTACACGTAATTAAAAAAAAAAGGTAATTAACAGCTAATAAAAAATTATTTTCTCAGGCATTGGACCAACCTTATTTTCTTTCTATGACGTAGACTTTTCTTTTTGTTTGACTCTTCTATAATTATTTATTTTCTTTTTTTGTTTAAGTAAAAAGTAGGAAATTATTATAGATTGGTCCTGACTCTGAGCCCCAGCAGATTACAGTGGGGATGACAACACGATATAAAATAAAAAAAACTCACAGTCCAGTCAGAATATCAGTAAAAGAAAACAAAACACAGAGGGACACAGATTTGGGGGAACCAGTACAAGGGAAATGGGGCCCACAGAGAAGGAAGTGGTCACATGGGACCTATGGTGACGAAATCAGATCATCAGTAGTCGCCACGTGGAAGATTCTTCGGCGACACGCATGACATGATGCGGGTCAACTCCCCACGCCATTGCCTGCTGTTGTTGTCTTGTAGCTGTCAAGTTAGCGTGTCCCAGTTAGAAATTCTTACGTCATCGGCTCAACCGCCTCGGCTCGTCTTCTCTCTGGTCGGTCCCACTGTGGGCTCTCACAATTAAGCCAATTACATTTCGCCAGCTCATCATAATCGCGTGTATCAAATCTAATTTTTCTTTTAATAAGATCAATAAACTAAGACTAAGACGTTATTTATTTCGTGGATTCGAATTTAAAATTTGAGTTTTATTACAGTTAAAATTCTAAAAAATAATCACATTTAATTTTTTATTATAATAAAAAGCTCTCATAAAAATTACATATTAACTCGAATTAAATATTAAATCAACGAATTAAACGGACCCTAAATATGATCAGCGGAATCAACAATATATAAACTTGAACTTTTTTATTTCGGTATGGTCCGACCCGGTTAAGTGTCTGACTCGAACCTAGTCGGGTCGGGATTTCAGGCACGAAATTTTATTTGTGCCGCGTGACTGCGTCGGCTCGTCCTGAACACTCTTTTTTCTTTATTTTTTAAATACCTTGTAAATTTCAAGTAGAACCAACCCTCCTTTCTTTAAAGGTGGGCCGGCCCGACATTTTCGACTCGAAATTTAACTTCAAACAATATATATAGATAAATTAATGTAAAAATTACTGATACTAAATATATTTAAAGAAAATGAGAGAAATACTCTCTTAAATTGCATGAGTTTTGATTTTCACCACTTGCTCTTAATTAATACTCACTTAATCAAATACAATATTAGTTAAAAATGGCATTAATCGAGAGTAATAGATAAAAATTTAGACTCACACACTTTTAAAAGTAAGTTTTCTAAATTTTTCATATATTTTTGAAATTTGTAATAGAACGGAAGGAATTGTTTTTTATGTATTAAAAGGATATCATGGGGAGAATTTTTTACCAAAGAAAAACCTAAACATAACTAAGTTATGAATATTGAATTATGAGATAATATGTCAATAAAGTCAAATTTGATAAAAACTTGACGGTGCATAATTTTTTGATAATTAACTTGACGGTTCATTATTATTTCAACTAATATTCCACTTTTTACACTGCCAGAGATTTCTCCATATATTCTAAATATCAATCAAATTTTAGAAAAAGATAAATCTATAATCAAATTTTTAAAAACGAGAACTCTTATCCGCACATGTCACAACATGTATTGTTAGACGTTTATTAAATTAATCAAACTATCTTAGTTAGATATGATTGTGATAACATTTCTTGAAATATATAGGACTCAAAATTTTCAATTTAATTTTAGTGTCTTAATTGGTATCTA